ACACCTCCAATTAGCTCTGTGCTGGATTTTGAATTAACATGTATGTAAGTTGAGAGATAAAGGTCCAGACTCATTCTTTTGCATGTGGAATTCCAGTTCTTCCAGCACTACTTGTTGAAGAGATGATTCTTTCCCCTATTGAATGGCTTTGGTACCCTTGTTGAAAATCAACTGATCATAGCTACATGTGTTTATTTCTGGATTCTTAATTCTTTTCTATTATTCTATGTATCTAAACCTCAGGTCAGCACCACATAGTCTTGATTACCATGAGTTTGTAGTCAATTTTGAGAATTGGAAATATAAATCTTGTGTTTAAGAGTCCCCTTTTTAATGGAAGGGTTCCATACACTTTGCTGACCACTTTGTGAGCAGTGTTGATTTTGAGCCTGCTTTATAGTGTTTTCTGATTCTTTACTAACATTAGAGTTTTGAGCTCTGGTATGCTCCTGAGCAGAATAAATATTGTGGGTGACATAGAAATCATTTAAAGGTAGAGATCATATAAAATGTATTAACACAGATTCCTGAAGACAGCCTTGAAGAAATCCTATGGTATAGCAAAAAAAAAAATGAAGATAAGCAATACACCATAATCATTTTTTATTGAGGCATAATTGACATGTAACATTATATTAGTTTCAGGTGTACAGCATAATAATTTGACATCAGCATACACAGCAAGATGATCACCACATTAAGTCCAGCTATATTCCATCATCATACAGTTATAAAATTTCAAATCTGTGACAACTTTCACATATGCACTGCAATATTATTAACTATAGTCACCAAAACCACAATCATTTTAAAAACTGATAACCTTTGTGAATATGTATAGATGGATCAGGACATGCAGGTTACTAGAGTTTTTTTAAATAAAAAAACTAAATAGTTTTTACTAGTATACACTCATATTTTTCTCCCCTAACATATTTTGCTCTGGGATATTGGAAATAAATGTCAAATCATATCCATTAAAGTCAGTAAAATAGATTGCATTTTGTATTGAAATGACATGTTTTAGATGAAGATGTCAATGGATTCTTTATACATTTTTTTTTTCAAATAATAATCCATTCCCATGTCTCTCCATTGTGGTGAACCATCTTGGGTGAGAGATTTTATTAGATGATGATAAAAGCCTAGCGTTTGCAGGGGAGGGGCAAAAGAGGATGAGAAGTGAACAATCAAAGACAGCGAAAATAGATAATTTTAAGTAGTTTCATTTGAAAAGAGGGTAAAGAAATGGGACAGGTGCTGAAAAGCGATGGGGGCAAGAAAGTGCTTGCTCTTTTAAGATGGAAACTCTTTTCTGCATACAGAGGGCTATTATCTGGTACATATAGTAAGTTCATAGAAACTATGACTTTAAGTGAAACTGTGATGAAACCAGGTCATCAAATGTTTCATTTAACACTAGTTGGGATTGCTTTTTTCTCATCAATATTATAATGAAACAATGTTGTAACATTATTCAAGAATCTGCCATATAGTCAAATATCGATGTTGCAGGATACTGGAATTAACTGCAAGAGAAAAGTCCTTGAGTAGGTAAGAGGGTATGAGATGCCAGTACACTGATGGAAGTGTTACTTTCCTTAGGAAGCAGAATAAATCCTCATCGAGGTAGAGTTTACAGGGAAAAGTGAACTTACTAAGGAAATATGGTTAGATTCTTGAGCAATGGTGAGTATAATATTCGTGACCCTAAATGTCATGGAAGAAGACTCAGTAGCATTGCTGTATTCCCTATGGGCAAAGAAGAAAATATTATACATCAAAACTCATGGGACACAGTGCAAACAGCACATGTAAGGACATGTATAGTAAAGTTATAAGAAGAGTAGGATTAAAATGAAAGAGCTAAAAGTCCCAAACAAGAAGTTAGAAAAAACAAAAACAGAATAAAGAAAATCAGAGGAAGGGATTATTAAGTTAAAGCAGAAATGTATTAAGTGAAAACCTAGATAGGCCAAGATTTATTTTGTGAAAGGACAACAAAAAGCGATAAAACTGACAAAAGTGAGCAAGTGCAAATAAAACAGGAGATATAATGACAGATACAGTAAAAATTAAAAGGCTAAGACAATATTATGAAAATTTTAATAACAAAATATTTGAAAATGTATAATAGACACATTCCTAGAAAAAGAAACATTAAATTGACTCCAGAATAGAAAACACGGTTTGTCTCAAAGGTGTTAAAGAAATGGAATCTATAGCTAGAAATCTGTCCACAAAGAAAATATCACTTCCAGATGGTTCTATGATGGATTTTTAGAAATCATTCAAAGGAAGGGGTAACGCTAATATTTAGAAAATATTTCAGTAAATGCAAACAAAGATAACACCCCCCATTCTTTTCATTAGGCTTCGTGGAACCAGGATACAAAGCAAGCTAAGAGTAATGTAAAAATGATAAGCATAAGCCAATCCGACTCATAAATATAGACGCAAAAGTCTGAAAATACTGAAGTAGATGTTCAAATATATCCACTAATTGGCCACTTCTCACTATCTCCACCCTACCATCCTGAGACAAGCCATCCCTACCCTTTGCCTAAGTTAGTATGATAATAATATCCCTGCCGCTACTGCTACCCCACATTCAACACAGCAGCCAGAGGGATCCTATAAAATGGCAACCCAGTTATGTTCCTCTGCTGCTCAGCACTCTCCAAGACTCATCTCAGTCACTAAAAGGGGTCTTCAAAGGACCCTAGATCAGGGTCTATAAACTGTCCCCTGGGCCAATTCCAGCCTGCTACCTATTTTTGTTGGGCCCATGAAGGAAGATTTTTTTTTTTACATATTCTTTACATATGTTAATACAGTGCAAATGAAGAGATTTTATGCCATGAAAATTATACAAATTTCAAATTTCATTGTCTTTAAGTAAAGTTTTATTGGCACTCACTCGGCCACACGCACGTTTAAGCACTGTTTTTGGCGACTTTTGTCTAACAACTGGCCACACTGTCACCCTTGTGCCTTGAAAATGCAGGGACGCTTTCACACTTGCTGTTCCTCTGCCTGCATTGCTCTTCCAGCTACCAATGTGGTTCACTCCTCAGATCTGGGAGGTCTCCAAGAGTCATTTTATGTGTTTTGGCAGCACATAAATCCTAAGAGTCACTTTGTCACTGAGTCTTTCCTGGCCACCGGATATGAAATGGAGACTGCCTGCCTTCCCCTTCCCTGGCGCTTCCCCCCTCCTTTCCTGCCTTGTTTTCCTCTAATGCATCGGTGCTGCTCGCCACCACCTAATATCTGCTCTGTATTTTGCTTATATATCTTGCTTATTTTTTGTCTCATGATGGGGGACAGATTTTTGTTTTTTATTGACAGCTGGCCTGCACGTAGGATATACTCAGTAAATGTTAAATGAATAGACAAGTTGGTGAATAAACAACTGTCTAAATTATTGCATAATGACTCTCACTCTAAATTCATTGCCCTTAATTTGCACAATTATGTAAAGTAGGCACCACTAGCCCCATTTTATGGAATAAATGGCTGAGGTTCAGAGAGTGTTGTCACCTACAAGGGAGCAGGCCTGGAGCGCTTCATCCTGACCCCGCCCTCCAACAACACAGGCAGATGAGCTGGGAGTGAACCAGCTGTCAGCTGTTCCACCATCCTGAGTCAGAGGGGTGGACCCAGGGGCACTTTCCCAGGCCAGGGGAGGGCTCTTGAGACCCTCTGGTCAAGACTGAAAAAAGGCCTCTGCAGACACTGTGAGGGCAGGTGAACCAATAGCATTTACTTATTAGGGAAGGAGTCTGGAAAGAGAACTCTGGGGAGACCTCTCTGGGTGTGAGAGACTCCCTGAGATGCAGGGGCTGGAGGTCTAGCTAGGTTTTAGTGCTGGGGTTTGAGAACAAAGGAATTAAACATTGTCTGTGAAAGCAAAACGGGTGGACTTGGCTAAAGTCCTTTCATTGTTGCTAATTGTGGGCACGAATCAGCTGCAGCCCGGAGGCCATGAAGGGCTCGTGACCATCTCCAGGGCCAACATCTCCTGGACACTGTGATCCCGCAGCTCCAGTGAGAACCGGTCTGGTCTCAAGGTCTGTGACTCTTCTGGGTCTGTAACTCCCTTTTCTTCCCGTAGCAGCCCACTTGATAAGCAGTGGAAAGATAGCTCAGAAATGATAAAGAAAAAAAAAAAACAATGGGCCAAGGAAATTTATGGCACCAGGTGTCTCAGCTTCAAGCCATCAGGGTTTTAGCCTCTTGTTTACCAGCAACAGCAAAACTGAATGGCATCATTTCTGCAAAGCTTTTTCCTTGAGTCTTGTCCTGCCCCTGTCCTTGTCCTGAGGCCCTTGCTGTCTCAACGTGATTTACCCAAGATCTAAAGAGGAACACAGGAATTCCCGGCATGGTGTGCTCTGTCGGCCTTAGAAGAAAGGCATGAAGAGTGGGTGAAATTATAGGAAATGTTGGGTTCACCAAGTCCCCAGGACTTCCTGGGCTATTTACATATTTCAGATGAGGAATTTGCTGTTTTGAGGAGTGATTTAAACTGGGACAGACATTCTTACTCTCTTTGCAATGAAGCAAATCTGATTCTATAGCAACTCAGAAGGAATTTAAGTTCAGAAAAAGACCTCTGAATAAATCAGTCGCTAGACTCAGATGGCAAACATGCTTATCATGTTTCCATAAGTACCACCTGTCATGGTCATATCACAAATGATGGCTATAAAATAAATATCACATGGAGTTAAAAGGAGCTATGGAGACAGAATGCATTGCTAAGACCTAATAACTAGTGCAAGTGAAATATTTTGTAGTATAAAGATGAAACTAATAACAGTCATTATGGACCAGCACTGCCACACTTAGGGATGAAAATTCCATTTGCTCTGAGGATTGAGGAGTCTAATTTTATAGTTCATAATTTTGTGCCTGCTCAAGGTTCTTTTATGAAACCATGTAGCAATATTTAATGTTTCAGAATCAAATATTGTATTTGTTTCTCTTTCTTCTAGGGCAAATAAAATTGCAACTGTTCTTTTCTGAGATTTATCAAGGCTGCCAAGTGATGTTTTATGAACCTCATTTCTAGATGCCTTGGGGTTCTGCAGCAAATATCCCTAAGGTAAGTCAAACAAGGTGCATGGGGTTTTCTTCCCCGTGTGACCATCTCTCCCTGCTCTCTTCACATTAAAGTCACCTGCCCAGTGTCAAAGAGGAAGGCGTGTGACTCAGGTGTGATACTGTGATTTAGAATTAGAAAGAGGTCTTGGAACTGCTTTTTCCTTTCTGGCCCAGAACATCTAAAACCCTTGGAATTTCCAAGGTGTTGGGAGCAAGAAAGTGCCCCTTGTTATGCTGATGAGCTGACTTTTGGAAAGTGCCTAAGGGTGGGCTGGTTGCCAGGGGAACCAACCTCCTTAGAACTTTCAGCTCTCCCCACCCCCAGGACTGCAGAGGGGCTGGAGGTTGAATCAATCACCCTTGGCCAGCGATGTAATCAATTACGCTCCTGTAACAGAGCCTGGTGAACACAGAGATGCAGGATGGTGGCACTCCTGGAGAGGGCACAGGTGCTCTGCTCCTTTTCCCCACACTTTGCCCCCAGCACCTCCTCCATCTGGCTGTTCCTGAGTTACATCCTTTTATAATAGGCCAGTGGTGTGGTAAGTGGAATGTTTCCTAGAGTTCTGAGTCACTCTAGCAAATTCATGGAACCTGGTGAGGGGCTTGTGGGAACTTCTGGTTTATAGAACCAGTCGGTCAGAAGCTGCTGGAGTGTCAAGTGGAGCAGCGGCAGGGGCTGTCTTGTGGGACGAAACCCTTAACCTGTGGAATCTGATGCTGCTTCTGGGAAGATAGTGTTGAATAATTGAGTTGAGTATCTTGGGCACCCTGTCAGTGTCCCATGAACTGCCTGTTGGTGTGTGGAACCTGGAATTGGGGCCAGGGCTACAAAAGACTTGTCTCTATAGCACAGCACTAGTATTGGCTGCACAATGAAACTTACAATTACTAAGTCTCCTTGGAGAGTACCTCCACTAACTCTCATCCACTCTGCCCCTTCACTTGGGTTTCCCGTGGACTGTATTGTAGCTGATGATATGAATGATCGCAGAGTAAGAGAAGTAAGGAACTCAGGAGTTCATTTGCTCTCCAAATTGCCAAGAAAAGAACAATGATATTCACATAAGTCCATTTCATTGCATTTCAACAGATGGTGATGGTTCGGAGAAACCACTTTAGAGTTACTAAGGGTCCAGGCTCTGTGGGAAAAGTATTCCAGTTCCCAGTTCAGCTACTAACAATTCTGTGGATTGTGATAAGTTGCTTACCCTTTCTGTTCCCTAGTTTTGTTGTTTCTTTTCTTTTTCTAAGTTGAGATAACATTGGTTTACAACACTATGTTTCAGGGATACAGCTTCCCAGCTCCATCAATGTATATCTCTCTGTGCCCTAGTTTTCTTATATTAAAACCAGAACTAATGTTAATTTGTAAGATCAGATAAAAAGCATCAGAGGTTCAAATGGATGTTCCATTTCCTGAATGCCTTCTGTCTCCATTATAAGTAGTTTTCTTATGTTAAAAGTATTTCTACCACAAAATGTTTTCTCTATAAAATAGTCTCATAATTATTTTTTGTTAGGTGAAAGCTACGGTTCAAAGGCTTAGTGAGGGTGATGTGGAAGTTTCTAAGTGATTTACGGGCCCAGGGTCCAGAAACCCTATTCCTGAGTGATCTCATTCCTGCAATTAAAGTAATTTTCACCTGTTCATGTACCTGAACAGCCATCTGCAGCCCAGTCCTCCTGTTAAATTCCAGCTCCACACAAACTGGTTCCTTTGGGTGCAAAGTTCTCTGCCACCCCCAGGCTGCTTCACCCCTTCCCTCTCAACACTGATTCAGCCCCACCACCTACTGTTCACCCACACCTCTAGCCAGCCATGTTTTACCTTGTTCTATTTTTCTTCCAATGTCTTTTCAATTGATTTCCCCTTCACCTTTCTTCTGGTATCTGCCTTATCCCAGACTTGGAAGGCAGCATTACAGAGAAGAAAGTGTGGTAAGATACTTACCACTGCTAAAATCATCTTGTAAAAACTACCTTTGGCAGCCTGAGTAACAAAACAAAAAGAATCCAAGCGACTGGATTTGATTCCTGCTGTCACTTGCTGTGTTGCCTTTGTCCATAGTTGATTCCTCTATAAAGTGGTGATCGTAGTGCCCAGCCTGTGGGGAGCACTCTGTATAACGGGCATAGACACTCTTCACAAGGTGGAAGAGGCTTCTTTCCAGCATCCTGCCCAGCAAAGAAGCAGTTAGCCAAAATGATACCTGGAGGCTTAACGAAAGCCCTACCCACCACTCCAGAAATCTAGAAGATGGCCAGTAAGGTTGACCCACAACTTGAAGGGAAAACAAGGGAGACTTATGAACAATTGGAGGTTGAACATAAAATTCAAGTGGTTGCTGGAGTGGATTACTCCATGAAGGAGTCAGCAGGTGGTAATTGTTACATTAACCTGAAAGCATTAGAAGGTTTTCAGCAGAGTCAGTCTTCATCACCTTCTGGATACCAGATTAACCAAAGCTGATGGGCTCTAGGGGCGGCTTCCAAGAGTGGACTGATTCCTTCCGCTGGCTACCGCTGTGACCATGGGTAGTAAAGGGAGCTGTGAGTAAAGACACATTCTTTGAAAGAAAAAAGAAAAGGCCGTGTCCTTTGACTCTGGGCCCACGTGCTCTGATCTGGTGCGGAGCAGAGGTCTGCAGCCACAGGAGACTGGGGGCTCCTTCTTGACTAGCGTCTCCTGCAGAGTGTTGCTATGAGGCCCAACTCACAACCTGCTGTGCCTTTTAAAGCGTCCCTCCCACTGGCTTCTCTGGTATCTCCATCTACCCAGAGCCTTTCCCACGTCAAAACTCTCTCCAAACCTGACTCATTGCGATTAAAAAGTAAACAACTGAACTCGCCCCAACCCCCTTTTACTTCGGCTGTCATCTCTTCTGCTTCTTCAGTAGGGTCCACTAGCCCTTCCTCCCAGAGGCACGTCTCGTTCAGGAGGGGACAGGAGGTGAGCAAGTGGGTGGGGAAGGGGGGAGGGAGAGGGAGAAGAACCCGAGAGGGCAAATATAAGACTCTTGTTTCCTTGGAGCAGGTGGCAGCCTACAAAACCTCACAAGTCAACAGTAGTTACCTTGTCCTGGGAGCTGTCATGAAGGACAGTCTCATCTTTTGCTTGGGCCATCACAACCCTCTTAACCTCGTTTCCTCCAGCCTTTCCATGTCCGCTGTCCCCTCCTGGGCGACCACAACCGTCCATCTTTCGCACGGCCAGTAGAGTTGTTGTTTCCTAAACATTTGCTCTCGCATTGCACATCTTCCTCTGCTACCCCCAGCTGTCCACTAACTATAGGGTCAAGGCCACAGTCCATAAAATAATCCACTTTTCCCATAAGTACTCCCTCCCCTCTGCCACTCTCCCCTCCCCCACTGCCACTCTCCCCTCCCCCACTGTTCACTCAGGGTACTAACTGGTGAGAACATGCTGTCCTCTCCCCAGGTCTCAATGAATCTGGGGCGTTTTTCCCTCAGCCTGGAAGATTATTCTGGCTTTTTCTTAATGCGCATGTTTGTATTTACATAGTTGAAAGCATTGAGAAGTGCTAGAGTTTTTCTTAGTCATAGGGACAGCTATTTCTGGTCTTCTGTATAATGCATTCATCAGATAACAAACGATCAGCAATGGCTTCATGTCCCAGGTCACGCAGTCCTAGAGAAGATCCTGGAGTAGATACTTTGCTTCTCTTTGCCTTTCTGCTTCTGTGTTCTTTCCACCACCATGTGCTGCTGTCTATGTGTCAGATGCTGTGTCAGGCACTCATGATGCAATTATCTTGGAATAAAGCTCCTTAGAAAACTTACCATCGACTTGACTTGAGCTGGAGCTAGAGTTTTCTGACATCTTTCAGTGGCAGGAGGAAGCAGAGTCCTAGTGCCAGTTCCCTCTTACAGTTTTCTATGACTGTGTCTCACCCTATTAGGCCATGTATTTAACCAAGACCAAGACATAATTTTGAACTTTTAAACTTGTGTTTACCTACATCCCTTTCTATGACCACAGAAAATGCACCCACAATCTGACTGTCCTTTCTAGGCGAGGAAAGAACCAGAATGACCTTGTACGGCCTTGGGGAGGGGAGTGGATGAAACCCCAGCTGTAGCAGAGAGTTCCAATTTACTGCCACTCTGCTGATTATATGCTTGTATATTTCCTGAAATAGTGAAAAGCTGTCCAGGCTGTAAAACAAATAGAAGACAGACAAGATGGCCGACTGTAGGGGGTTTGTAATCTGGGGGAATATATGAAGTGAGCATCTGGGTTTTTGTATCGATGCCCTCAAAATGTATGAGGGAGGGTTGTGCCACCTCGGAATCATAAGAGTATGGTCGGATTTCTTTTGGAAGACTTCCTAATTCAGGGTGAAGAGGTGAGTGTGGCTGATACTCTATCAGCTACCAGAAGTCACACCAAGGAATGAGGATCTGTCGCATCAAACATCAAGTGTTTGGAAAACCTGTTATTATGGCACTCGTGTTTACCATGCTTTTTAGCTTAGAGGATGCTTTTATAAGCACTAGCTAATTTGATCCTAGTGATAACTATAATGTAAGGATGATTAGAATGATCATTATTGTCCCCATGAGGTAACTGAGGCTGAGTGGAGGTGACTTGCCCAAGGTCACTCAGTTGTCAGAGAGAACGGGTCTGTCACTTATAGCATTGTGCTGTTGACTTTCAAACAATCCTGTGTGTGTGTGTGAATTCTTGTTCCATACACTAAAATATAATTTTGAAATTTGTAGTCAATCTTGTATTGAGGTAACATTGGTTTACAACACTGTAGGTGATTTAGGAGAATAGGTTCTCATCTCCTCAGATAGGTTACCACCCCACCCTCACCACCCAAGCACCCTTAGCCCTTTACCACAGACCATTGGGTCCACTCTATCCCTTGTCTCCACTCTATCCCCCTGCTCTAGTTGCCTCAACTTTACAGCCAGATTTCCAGGGTTTGGTTTGGTTTGGCTTTGTCTGTTCCGTCATTTGGTTTCCCTCTGTTCCACACTTGAGTGAAATCATCCCGTATTTGTCTTTCCCCTAGTTTCATCCATGTGAATGGAAGGACTCCATCTTTCTTTATAGCTGAGTAGTATTCCTTTGTATACAGCCAAAGATTATTAGGCAGCGACCAAATCAGAGGAAGGGGCACAGATACATTTTGTGATAGCATTAGGTGGAGAAGGTGACAGAATCATTCTAATGAATACCCATCAGTAAAAGGAAATGTTTCATTTTAGACTGGTTTCTAGAATATGCTGATGTCCTTAAAGGGATTTGGGAAAATATTTGCTCAGTCATGAATCTTTCCAGATTTTAAATAATGCATTCTTTACAGGACCAGAGGGGGTTCCCAGGACACAGTGCATCCAGTGCCCACACCAGGAAGGCATCAACAACCAACACGAGGTTAGTAATATGAATTCCATTAAGCAATTGGGAAATCTGAGGTATGGTGTGACTGGGTAATTCCCCCAACCCCCAAAGTGTATTGTTTTTATGGGTTGTTTGTACATGTAAACAGAAGAGTTGTTCACTTATTTCCTCAATGAAATCCATGTTTTAGGGTCACGTTTGGTGGGAATCAATAACCTGCTTTGGGGAATCAAAAAGCAGAATCAATTTTAGAAAAAAAAAAAAAAGGTGGTTTGGTTTGAAAATACATTTAATTAAAAACTGAACAGTGGTGGCATTTAGAATCTGACTTTCAATTACAGTTTTACAATTTAAATTACAATAATATCCTATAGGAAGACATGCTATGAAAATTAAGCTTTCACAAGAGAAAGGCTAAAGAAGGGGTAAAATTGAACATGTTTAAGGAAATGATAAAAGGTTGCTTTTTAAAAATACTTTTAAAAAACTTCTGGTGGTAGAAAAGTTAAGATGGAAAGCCTTATTCAACAGTCCACCGGAAAATATAAAAGAAGTGCTGGAATCCCTGCGGGAAGTGGGGAGAGCTCCAGCACTGAGAAGTGATTAGAACAGCACTGGGGGTGCGGAGGGGGGGCACGGGCGAGGCTGGGGGCCTGCGTGTCTGAGCCTGGGAGCAGCCTGTGAGAATGGACTTGGTCTTCAAACTGCTTTTGCACCAGCAGAAGTTCTCTTTGCCTGGCTGCATAAGCAGTGCTGCTCTCTCTGGTTGGAAAATTTAAAGGTGCAGGCAGTCTGAAATCCCTGGCCTGGAAGGGCTGTGCATCAATTTAAAGGCTGATTAATAATGCTTAACCCACGAAGGCTAACCCCAGGGTCTCCGGCCATACCGCTTCCAGGAATCTGCCAGTCTCTGGAGCCTGAGTAGCTCTGACAGACTAGTCCGGGCACTTGGGGAATTCATGCAAAACTTATTTTCTGCAGGCATTCACATAAGTGACAGGAGACTGTCAATTTATCCCAGAAATCGCACTATTTATAAACTCCAGAATGTATTTAATTCTGAGGACAGCTTCAATAATACATGAATTAATAAAAAGAAGCCATCTGAGTTAAAAAGGCCTTTGTAGACCTGTTTGCAACATGAGATAATCAAATGTACAAAATAACAGTAAACAATTTTCATATCCTCTCCTTTTTTCCTTGTTTCCTGTAGATTTCTGGGTAAAGTAAGGCTATTATTCCTCACAGCTTTATATGCGAACTAAGCCTCCATTTCTTTGTCCAAGGACATTCTGACAGAAACCTAAATATTTTTGAACCTTTATAATGTGGGCACTTCCTTAACCTGATTAAGGATGCATTACATTAATTAGGTTATGGATAACATCCTTTCCTTTCCAATCAGCCTCATGCCTGGAGACTTCCATCCCCTCAGTGATGTTTCTGGCATTTTCTTTACCTGTCATCTCTCTAGAGAGCTCCTGTCAGTTTTCTTCGTCCTCTGTCAGAAAATGGAACCCAACCTCCTCTCTTTATCTAATTGTGTAATCAACTTAATCTTATACAAGACTGTAAACACCTCATGTCCTTGCTTTCAAACAATTATACCATAAATTACCAAATGTTTGCATTACCACTCTTGGCATGGTGAAGGCACTCAATAAATTTTCACTGATCAGTTTCTCATGGGATACAAAGGAGTGTTCTAGTAAAATCTACCTTCAGCAGCCTAAGGAACTGATGGTCTCACATAGCGCTGACTTCTCCACCTGGGGATTGCAAAATTATAAGGTATGTAGCTTTTCTGTCCAAGGATGGGTTCTGGAAATACCCTACACCTGGAACCTGTTAATCTTGAAACAAATATGTGGAAGTAGAGACCAAGTTGCAAAAAAGAAAAGAAATTTTGAGCAGACCCATTGGTGAGTTTCCTTGCACTTAGCTGTTGTGTGCTTGCGTCCTTTGGAGTGTCCCCATTCCTCGTTAATTAAGGAAGTGATTTGGGTCATTTGGGGGAGTTACTCAGTTTCTCTGGGTTTTTCCCATGTGCGCAGGAGATACGCATGTCATTAACCTCCAGTTAATCTCTCTTTTATTACATGGGTGGCGTGTTTCTGCCAAGAAGAAGCAAAGTAGAGGGAAAAGGAGAAGGGAGAGGACACGGGGAAGAGAGGGCAGGACAGGACCAGAAAGGGAGGACAAAGTTATAAAACCAAAAAGCAAGGCATTTTTATTTGGGATCAAAGGAAGAACTGCAATCCAGTGTACACAGATTGAGCTAGACCACCTAAAATGTACCCGAAGGAGGTAAAGTTGGGGGTTTTATGGGAGATAAAAAGGAAGATGAGGTAAGTAGTTAGAGAAAAGTTGATTGTGTTGACAAGCTCAGACTATTCTTGGCTATACCCAATTGGTTACTGATTCTCTGGAAAGGATGAAAAGTGAACTGGCTCTGTCCTCCTGCTACAAGTCCATAATCAAGAGTTCTTAAACCACTGTTTGCTAAATGGTTTCTTAAAACAATTCCTTTTGGCACACTCCAAAGTTCATTTGCCCAGTTCAAAGGTCTCTGACCCAATTCAAAGGAGGCAGGTAATGCAATTTCTCTGTAATGACTCTACAGCTTGATTTCAAAATGGGTTCACCAATGTGAACTTTTCACATGGCAGAGAGAGGGAGAGGTTCTAGAAACCTAATAATGGTCCAGTCAGGTCTTGGTTGCACTCTACCAGCTGTCTTGTTACCAAGCAGCCGGTGAAGGACATGAACAAATGTTTAAAGTTCAGCTAAGCCAGCTCCTCATTATTTAACTAGCAGAGTTGGGAGTTAACTGATATTTCATCTGCATCCAATATTTGGAAAGCCCTGTCATGGAAAACCCAAATCTGTTTGGTATAATTGCATTTGAGAGGAAGATTTAGTAGCCATCAAGTGTGGAAAACACTGTTGTTGTTTTTTTTAAGATTTATTTATGCATACAAGAACTGGGGTATAGGCCAGAGGTATTGGGGGGGGGTGAGAGGATTCACCAGAGACAGAGTGGGAAACAGAGCAGGCAAATCCACTGAAATACACTGCTGAGGGGAGCAGTGGGGGGATAGGAGAGGTCTGCTGTGCCATGTGGGTCACCTCCCTGGCCGGGGATCAAACTCATGCCACAGTGGCTGGCGATGACTTGATAGCACTGAGACATTAACCCCTGCGCCACCAGGGAGGCCCAAGGAAAATATTCATTAACTGTCCTTTCTGTCAAACCTCAAACCCCAAGATGGCATGGCATATTTGAGGGCACTTTGTATAAATATTTTAAATGCAAGTACATTTTTAAATTAATTTTTGATGTTTTAACTTCCAGCTGTAAGCGATCAAAGCTTTAGTAAAATCCAAATGTTAAGGACTTAGGTCTCTCTTTCTCTGGGGGAACACCGCTAGATGGAAATGACAGGTTGGCTGATGTTTAAAGCATTGTTTTGATTTGAATCACAATAGGGTGCCATGACCTAGGTCACCACCTGGCTTGGAATCCCAGCATCACCATTCACTGATTATTGAATGACAGTGGCTCCACAAGGTGGAAAAGAGAGGAATATACTTAAAGTTTTTGCATATGTTACTGGTCAAGGATATATACTATTTCCTTAACTATACATTTCCAAGCCACAGGGCTACCGATTATACATGCTGGTAGCACAAACAGAGGCACAGGCCAAATGACTTCCTGAACACAGGCGTGTAGGGACTTCATAGTTATTAAAATATGATTATCTTCTGATCCTTATGAGAACACCATCCATTAAGCAGGACAAGTGTTTTTAGCCCCTATTATCTATTTTGTAGACTTTTAAAAAAGCTGAAAAATATTATCACTCAAGTCTCAGCCAGGCTTTCTGACTTCTGCTTCATATTGTGTTGGGGAAGCTTTTAGTATTAAACCTGAATCCTCCTTTGTGGAGGAAACAAGTTATTTGAACCCTTAGAAGATATAAAGAGAAGATAATATGACTTCCCAGGTTTGCTGGGGAGTGAAAGGGGATGATATATATTTAAATGCCTAGCTTTTTATCAAGTACATTTTAGACAGAAAAAAAAAGAAAAACAGTAGGTTCCTTCTATTTCCAGAACATTGTCTCTGCCTTTAATGAAAAGTCTTTATCATTTAATAACACTTACTGGGATTTTGCCTAATCACTCTATTTCATTGTTGCAGATGTCTGAAATGCAGATGAGAACAAAGCAGAGCTAAATCACCCATAATTTTACCAGAGATGTCCATTAACATTTTGGTACTTTGGTGTCATCGTCCTGGTCTATGTAATGTGCAAGGGTGTGCACGCACACAGGGCTGGCTTCAGGTGTGCAGCTGTATAAATGCACAGGCTCTCCACATTTAGAAGGTCCAGTACTGGTTTCAGGCTCACGTAGTATCTTCTTGAAATTCTTGCTTTGAGCAAGTTTTATTTTACACTTGGTCCCAGAAATGGTGTAGCTGGTCCAGTAGTCACATTAGTATTCCAACAAAATTGACTTGGGAATCAAAATCGGAACATACACTATTCAGTGACCTGCCCTTTCACATAATAAATTGTATCCTTTTCCCCAAGTCACAAAATACTTTTCTATAACATGATTTGTGTGATGTGTGGTGTTCTACTATACCATCCAAAGGGACCCCAATATTCATAGTTTGGGTCCATTGGCTTCAGCTTAGCAAGAATCTATGGTAAGTCCTGAAGGGACAAAAAACATTTTACTAAAAGTGACTTTCAAGATATATTTAAAATATACCATCTAATCAGCTAGTCAGAAAAATTAATTCTTACACTATGAATTTTCAAAGATGCTATGTCTTGCAAACTGTATCGAGGGTCCATTTTGCCCACTGAGATTGAGTAGTAGGAAAGAATTATCTTTCCATGTTAGTGGAATCTTGCACAGGCACCATGCAATGGGAAAGTCAGGAAAATCTCACCTTCTTTTTTTTTTTAATAGAAATAACATTTTACTTTCCCCAAGCATATCGTCATTGAGGGAGG